TGTGTGTGTGTGTGTGTGTGTGTGTGTGTGTCAGCTGGTGGCGAACGCTGTGCTGTTCGTGTGTGTTAACGGCGTGGGTGTGTTTCACCTGTGGCACACTGAACACGCTCACAGAAAGTCCAGCAAGAAGCGGGAGGACTTCAGCAGAAACCGTGCCACACAGGCCAAGCAGAAGCGCGACCAGGTACAGATTTACATCCTGTACTTCATTCAGAGCGCAGAGTGTGTGTCTCCGTGGGGGGTTCTGGGCGTCTGCATGCTGCTTTAGGCTTTGGAATAGAGCTGAAATATTACAGTTTTTCTTGATTGCTAACACACTATAACTGATTCATTTGGCCCAATTTTCCAAATCATTCATACAGTTCTCGAAACAAAGACACGATTCTCAAAACTTTGAACACATTTCACCTGTTTGCACACACGCTCCAATTTGCTCAGTGTTTTCTGCCGAACTCTACACAAAAACACCATCATTTTACACAGGTTTAACCATGTCCTCGTTCAGAAAACACAAACACACAATATAATTAACTCAAGCATCAAAAAATGAACTCAAACAGCACAGATACAATATAATTACAGTACACAGCAGCAGTACTTCAGACGAGAGAACTTTCATCATTCTATGTACAGTAAACACTGTAGCACATGTTGTACAGTACACCCTCAAACTCATTACTGTTGAACTGATTTGTAGCCAAGTAGTCCTTACATGTACTGTATTTGTGCAGAACTGAGAGACGGCTGTCTATGGGGAGGCAGAGAAGTCTTGTGTCAGAAGAATAAGAAACTGCTGTAATAAATAAGGATACTAACAATACTGTGATGCAAATCGGCAGATGATGCTGAATGAATGAATGAATTAATGAATTTATTTACAGTAACTGACGGTATACCCCAATGTGTGTTTACTGTATATTCTGTTGTTTGGTCCTTGAACTTTTCTCTTCTAGTGCTTTTCATTTACTGTAAGATCTCTTCACAGTAGTGTAATGACAGTAAACTTTACTTACAGTTTAATGCTGAATTTTACTGTATCTGCATCCTCTATTTATGTCGTATACTGTAACAGTGATAGACTAGCAAAAGGATTCCTGTTTCCCAAAGGCAGTGTTTTGAATTGTTCTCTAGGCAGTGAAGTATGTGTGTATTTGACAGGTTTGTGTGTCATCTGAGGCCAAAGTTTGAGTCTGACAAAACATGTTTTTGACTAAACTATTTGATTTTGAGCTGGAAGTTTGACGTTTGCACAAGTTGGTGTGTAGTTTTGAGATTGTGTTTATAGTTGTGAGAAAATGGTGAATTGTTTCATGAATTGTGTGTTAGCAATCGAGAAAAACTGTAAATAAATCATGCATTAATAATAAACACAGTGTTTAATCGAGTAACTCTTGTGTGCAGGAGCATCTGCTGCTGTCGGTGCTGCCGCGATACATCGCCATGGAGCTGAAGACGGAAATCGTTAAGCGTCTGTCGGCTAAATGCAGCGCCGAAGAGAACCGACCCAACTTCCACAGTCTCTACATACGACAGCACAGAGACATCAGGTGAGAACACACACACACACACACACACACACACACAGAAAAACACTCACACAAAAACACGTAGAAATACACACTCTCTCACACACATTCAATAACACATAAATAAAAAAGACAGAAATACACATGTACACAAACACACACACTCATGCAAAAAACACAGGAACACACACACACACACACAGAAAAACACTCACACAAAAACACTTAGAAATACACACTCTCTCACACACATTCAATAACACATAAATAAAAAAGACAGAAATACACATGCACACAAACACACACACACACACACACACTCATGCAAAAAACACAGGAACACACACACACACACACGTATAAATACACATACGTGCACATTTATGTTGTTTTTCTATGAGGTTAAGTGCACTGATTACACACAAGCCCAAAGCCCAGCCCCTCACAGCCAGCGAGTGTTGTTTAATAAAGTCATATTTTGTCTCTGCAGTATCCTGTACGCTGATATCGTGGGCTTCACGCACCTCTCCAGCACCTGCACACCTGAGGAGCTCGTGGCCGTCCTCAACAAACTCTTCGGCCGCTTCGACGACATCGCTAAGGTGTGCAGATCTGCCTTTCTGCTCTTCTCTGTGTTTCTCTTGGGTTTATGTACTCAACTCTTTCTCTTCTCTGACTTCTCTCTGCAGAAGAACGGCTGTCTGCGTATTAAAATCCTGGGCGACTGTTATTACTGCGTGTCGGGTCTCCCTGACCCCATCTCTCATCACGCTCGCAACTGCGTTCAGATGGGTCTGGACATGTGCACGGCCATAAAGTGCGTCCCACCATCCAAAAATCATCATCTCAGTATCAGTCTTATAATAGTATCGTCGATAGACTATGATCGTTTTAAATTATTGTAAGATTTTCTGTTTTCACTTTAGTTGACATTTTTGTAATGTGTTGTAATTGTGTGTTTTGCATTTTTTATATTTTTTTAAATTATTATTATTATATTGCTAATAATACTTTTAAGTGATTATTTTATTATTTTAATACTTTTTAATTAACTATTTATTTTTATTAATGCTCATATTCTCTGTTTCCACTTTAGTTCAGTTTTTAGTCCATTTTTATCGTTGTGTTAATAATAGTGCAGTCAAATGATTAATCGCGATTAATCGCATCCAAAATAAAAGTTTTTGTTTGCATAATATATGTGTGTGTGCTGTGTATATTTATTATGTGTATATAAATACACACACATACAGTATGTATTTTGGAAATATTTATATGTATTTACATGTCTATATTTATATGAATATAATTTATATTATATATAAATATATTTAATATATAAACATAACATATTTTTCTGAAATATATACATGCATGTGTGTGTATTGAGTTATACATAAAAAAGATATACAGTACAGAAAAACTTGTATTCTGGATGCGATTAATCATGATTAATCGTTTGACAGCACTAGTTAATAATATATTTTTTATTATTATTTTCAAATATTTTTAAATTAAAATTTTATTTTATGAACATTTAATTTGTATCAATTTTTTTTATTAATTGTATTATTAATTTTACCATACATTTTTATCTGGTGAAACATTTAGACCGTCGATCCGAACAAAGTACAATCCAAAAATTATCTTTGCATCAGCGTTATTTTTGTATCATTGATATACTATTATAGTTTTTATAAATATTTTGAACTTGAGTTTATAATTCTATTCTATATTTTTTGTTTTAACTAAAAATGTAGTAATTTAGTTGTTTTTGTCAGTTTTATTCCGTTGTTAAATGTCTATATAATGTTTATTTATTATTTTTAGTTTGTTAGTTTATTTTTTACTAAATGTCACCATGGTAATTAGCTGAAATAAAATAAGTTTATCTTATTTTATTTCAGTAAAAAAAAATTTTTTAAGAAAATGTTTCCGTCTTGAAGTGTGGTTATTTGTGACCTTTGACCCCTGCAGTAAGCTGAGGGAGGCGACGGACGTGAACATTAACATGCGTGTGGGTGTTCACACGGGGAACGTTCTGTGTGGCGTGATCGGCCTTCAGAAGTGGCAGTATGACGTCTGGTCAGATGATGTGACTCTAGCCAATCACATGGAGTCTGGAGGAGTGGCTGGGTACTTGATTACTGCAGTATTATCAGTGACGACGATGATGATGATGATGATGATGATGATGATGATGATGATGGTTGCAGTATTATCAGTGACGATGATGATGATGATGATGATGATGATGATGATGGTTGCAGTATTATCAGTGACGATGATGATGGTTCCTCACAGGAGGGTCCACATCACGGAGGAGACGTTCGCTCACCTGGATGGGAAATACCAGGTGGAGGACGGAAATGGCGGGAATCGCGATTCCACGCTGAAGGAAAGGAGAACGTTCCTGGTCATTGATCCTAATACAGAAAACTACGATATAACACCTCAGGTCACCTTCAATAATCATTATTGACTATATAGATCAGTTATCTGTCGTCAGAACCTATCAAATACATTTGATCTTTCCAAAATTCTGTCTAAACAGTTGAATTAATAAAATTTTAACAATTTTTGACAATACTTTTAAAATGCAATCAAATAGGAGATATAACAATTTCTTTATTTTTATTTGTCAAATGAAGTGCTTCAGGTTTTGTTTGTTTGTTTTTCTTGTTTATTCAATATAATTTATTTGTTTTCTGGTTTGTTGCAAATAGCTTTGCGTCTTTCCTGTGTTTTTGAAATTTTGAGGTTTAATAATCCTTGTTGCAATTTCAAACATTTAATGACTAATGGTTAGTAGCTTAAAGGGTTAGTTCATCCAAAAATGAAAATTAGGCTGTGTTTTACTCACCCCAGAGGCATCCTCGGTGTATAGGACTTTCTTCTTTCAGACAAATCCAGTCGGAGTTATATCAAAAATTGTCCTGGCTCTTCCAAGCTCTATCATTGCAGTCAGTGTTGCATGCATCCTTCCAAAAGAAGTTAAATAAAAAGCACCCATCCATAAAACAAAGTGGATAAAACAAACACAGCTCCGGGGGGTGAACAAAGGCCTTCTGTAGCGAATCAATGCGTTTTTGTAAGAAAAATATCCATATTCAAAACGTAATAATCACTTTAATCTAGCTTGTGCTCACTGTTGTAAATGGAAGCAGCTCCGGGGGAATGACGTATGAGTTCAGCAAGCTACATTAAATTGATTATTGCGTTTTTAATATGGATATATTTCTTACAAAAATGCATCGATTCGCTACAGAAGGCCTTTGCTCACCCCCCGGAGCCGTGTGAGACACTTTGTTTTATAGATGTGACCTTTTTATTTGACGACTTGTGGACTGTTCAACTGCAACACCCGCTGACTGCAATGATAGAGCTTGGAATAGCCAGGACAATTTTTTATATAACTCCGACTGGATTCGTCTGAAATAATAAAGTCATATACACCCAGGATGCTTTGGGGGTGAGTAAAACACAGCCTAATTATTATTTTTGGGTGAACTAACCCTTTAAGTACTGACTTACTATTGAATTTCTATGTCAAATCAAGTGTGCACAATAGTATTTTTTTAATAATACGTACAGTAGTAATACTTTTCTGCAACAATTTCATCAAGTTCATCTTGTTTTGTTGTGAATACTTTTGTTTTTTGTGTGTATTTGTCTTTTTGAAGTTTTTTGAATCTAAAAGATCTAAAACAGCTCTGTTTTCTATGTGAATATCTGTTAAATTGTAATTGATTGCTGTGATAAAAGCTGATTTTTCAGCATCATATTTGAAATAGAAATCTTTTGTAACTTTATAAATGTTTTTACTGTCACTTTTCGTCAGTTTAATGCATCTCTGATGAATAGAAGTATTAATGTGCCTCTGGTTCTTTTCGTGTGTCTCAGACTAATGAGCTGAAGGTGGACAACATACTGGCGAATCGTCAGAAGCTCCGCGCATCGGTTCGGATGTCGCAGTACCTGCAGTCCTGGAAAACCGTCAAACCGTTTTCTGGACTCAACCAACCAGAGGCTTCGCTCGCAACCCCGCCCACTGCTGACAGCAGCGCCAGCGAATTACAGCCGGCCACGGTCAGTGTTAATCATGATCACCGTCCAATAATACTGAATCATTTACTGAAAACATAAACGCTGCATATTAATTCCTGTCATTCCTTTTTTTTGTCATCAGCAGGGGCTCCCAGAGATCAACACTCCAAGGTGAAAATTAAAGGTTTATTAATTCGCTTCAGCGATATATAAATGTAGTTTGCATACGTACCAAACAATGTACTTACTTTGGATCACGTACCAGAATCCACCAAGAAGAGATCAGAGCTAACTTTCACTCAGTTTGCTTTGCAGTTCAGATAAATGCTGTAATTCCCATTTGTTTATTTTCTCAGACCTTCACAAGTTCTCGAAAACGGACTGATGGACTCATTAGACTCTCTGGATAATGAAGGGTGAGCAAACGATTCATTACAGTCTTCACAGTGAATGAGTCATCAAAAAATATTTGATTTAATATCATCTTTTCGTTGTTTAGGAGACGAGCGAAGCTGAACAGTGTGACGTTATTTTTTAACAATTTTCAGCTGGAGAAGCAGGTGTGAATTATTTGCGACCCTGAACCACAAAACCAGTCATAAGGGTCAATTATTTAGAAATTGAGGTTTATACATCATCTAAAAGCTGAATAAATAAGCTTTCCATTGATGTATGGTATGGTAAAATCTGGAATCTGAGGGTGCAAAAAAATCTAAATATTGAGAAAATCATCTTTAAAGTTGTTCAAATGAAGTTCTTAGCAATGCATATTACTACTTTCACCTGAACTTATACATTTTATTTCTAAAACATGGCGAAAATGTATGTTTTTTTTGGCTATTGACAGTATTTTCTGGTTTATGGAGTGGTAAAAAGAGAAATCATAAATCCTCTCTGGAAAAACCCTTAACTCTAATATGTCAACAAAGTAAAATAAGAATTTTGAACCTGACTTTATCCAGTTCTTTTGCACATTTGAACAACATTTTTTTTTTAAATTTGTAATTACAAAAAAACGTTTGCAATTCTTAATGCAATCAATCAACTGGGAAAGTATTGTCATTATTTATGAGTAAAATATTATTCAAATTCGACAATATTCACCTGGTGTCCCTTGCCTTAAAAGTTGATTGATGTTTGTTCAGTATTTCCTGAGTTCATTCGGTGAATAGTTAGTGTTTCACTAACTAACACTGTGATTTTAATCCTGTTGGAATAAAACAAAAACTACAGCACAAAAGTGTTACTATTACCTACTGCTTTTAATTAGCTTGAACATACTTGTTGTCATATACACATTTGATCAAAATGCATTTAATTTGTTTTAGCCTTTACTGAAGAACTACATTTCTTGTTGTTCTATTGATCCTCTGTCCCATAAAGATCAAATGTGTTGTTTTAAAGGAAAGTACATTTCTAAATGTCTGTCTGTACAAGATGTCTATATGTTTGTCTGTACAAAGTCTGAAACTTCATCTGTTTGTTTTGTAGGTTTTTATCCCAGGTGATAACTGTTTAAATGTTTCCCACAATGCAACAGTACTGAACACTCTCAATCTCTACACTGTCCCGGTGAGCTTTTAGCTTATATTATAAATGATCAATAGAGGTGATCATTTACATTAGTATTGGTGTCATATTGATCATATGTTAATATGATGTAATTGTGTGTGTGTGTGTGTGCAGTATTATCTGTACTGCTGTCTGCTGGCGATGCTGGGCGTGATTGTGTTTGTGCGTGTGAGCATGTCTATTAAAGTCTTCCTCCTGACCCTCGCTGTGGTGGTTTATCTCGCACTTTTCCTACACGTTTACGCACCGCGCTCCGACTGCTACATCAAACAGCTCTACAGCGACAACAGCACGTAAGAGCCAAACACACACACCTGATTCTGCAGGACTACTGCCAGCATTTTGTTATACATATATATTGCATTTTATATAAATGCGATATAGGAGATCTAGTGACTGCAAAGAGTGTAAAAATATCTTTGCTTTGAAACCTACTTAAGCTGTAATAGTGTCTCAAGTGATATTTAGCAAAGTAATCCATTTGAAAATTTTTATTATTGTTATTATTATTAATTTTAACTTACAACAACTATAATAATAACGATCATTATTATTGAATTATTAACAAACTCATAACATTATAATTATCATTATTTTACATAATTCTAATATATAATGTTAATTGTTTATAATAATAATTATTATTATGTCTAAAATAAAAAGTGTTATTGTTATTATTATAATTATTATTGGATTATTAATTAGAACAACAATAATATTAACAGTTATTATAATTTTTACTATAAAAATGAAGACTATATATATTACTATTTTAATAATACAATTGTACTGTAAACATTTATTAATTTAAAAATAATAAATAATTATTTTATTAATTTTATTAGAAATGATAATAATGATTTATATTTTAATTTTAATTCATTGTGCAGACCTAATTTAAATAATGAATCACAATCAGTTGCATGAATATTTAGAATAAGCATAGTTAATTGTAAGTTTAGTTTAGAATGTGTTGAAACTTCTCTCTGAATATATATTAAATTCATATTACATTCACACATTAATGAGTTAATGAGTTAATTCTAGTTAATGAGAATTGAATGTAGGTGGACTTAATTCAGGAGGAGTTGGTTGGAAGGAATAAAGTTTATTTTTATTACAGGTGGTTGGAAAATAAGAAGGATTAGTGATCTCAGACTTTTGATGAAAGACATTTTGTCTTTATTAGTATGTCACTGATTAATCATTCATAATAAGAGCAAGAACATGAATTAAGTAAGTATTGATTTTGTGAGTTTAGTATGTTTAACCGTTTAGGTTCAGATGCTGTTAATATGTTTCTTTGTGTTTTAACTCCGTGATTGTTGTTAAAGTCAATAAATTGAGCGGAAATTAATATTTATTGGGATATCTCACTGTGTGTGTTTTAGGCCGGGAGTTCTTAAGGAGCCCAAGATCATGTCCGGCATTTGGCTGGTCATTTTTTACTTGCTTTCCCTTATTCTCGTACGACAGGTAAGAGTGTGTGAGTGTGAGTGTGAGTGTGAGTGTGAGTGTGAGCGTGAGCGTGTGTGTGAGCGTGAGCGTGTGCGTGCAGCATCTGCAGCAAATTGCAGATTTTTGCTCAGTTTGAGTCTCTGAATAAGTAGTTTTTTCCTCCATATTCTCACTGTATCAGACTATACAAGACACCCATGATGTGAGTTAGTTTTCTGTGATAGCACTGATGTGTGTGTGTGTGTGTGTGTGTGTGTGTGTGTTTTACCCTCTCACCAGACCTGCGACATGTCCTACAGTCACGTCCGCTGCATGCTGGACTTCGCCATCGCTCTGATGGGGCGACTGGAGAACATCAACATGCACTCCTTCAACAGCTTCCAACTGAGGATCGGTACAACACAGACATCGTTCATTCATTTATATGTATCTCAAAAAATTAGAATATCGTGAAAAAAAAATGTTGTAAATTATTTCAAAAAGTGAAACTTTCATATATTCTAGATTCATTACATGTAAAGTAAAACATTTGAAAAGTTTGTATTGTTCGTTTTAAGTTTGATGATTACAGCTTACAGCTCATGAAAGTCAAAAATCCAGTATCTCAAAATATTAGAATATTTCCTGAGATCGATCAAAAAAAGGTTTTTGCAAAACACAAAAAAATTTAAGTTGCACCTGTATATATATATATATATAGAGAGAGAGAGAGAGAGAGAGAGAGAGAATCACACTCATGCTCACCGAGGCTGCATCATTTATTTGATCAAAAGTACAGTAAAATTGTGAAATATTTTTACAATTTAAAACAGCTGTTTTCTATGTGAATCTCTGTTAAACTGTAATGTATTTCTGTGATGTGCAGCTGTATTTTCAGCATCATTCCTCCAGTCTTCAGTGTCACATGATCTTCAGAAATCAGTATAATATGCTGATCTGCTGCTCGAGAGACATTAAATTAATATTTTTTCATCAAGGACACATTAAATTGATCAAAAGTGCCAGTAAAGACATTCATAATGTTACAAAAGATTCTGTTCTTTTGAACTTTCTGTTCATCTGTGAATCCTGAAAAATAAAATGCATCACGGTTTCCACAAAAATATTGTGCAGCACGACTGTTTTCAACATTGATAATAATCAGAAATGTTTCTCGAGCAGCAGATCAGCATATTATACTGATTTCTGAAGATCATGTGACACTGAAGACTGGAGGAATGATGCGGGAAATACAGCAATAAATTACATTCTAACAGATATTCACATAGAAAACAGTTGTTTTAATTTGTTAAACTATTTTAGTGTATTTACTGGAATTTTGATCCACTAAATGCAGTCTCGGTGTGCAGAAGAGACTGCTTTTGAAAACATTGTAAAATCGTATTTATCTACCGTAACTCTGACTTGTGTTTGGTGTTGTGTTGTGTTGTGTTCAGGGATAAATCACGGTCCTGTGATCGCAGGCGTCATCGGCGCTCATAAACCTCAGTATGACATCTGGGGAAACACGGTTAATGTGGCCAGCCGGATGGACAGCACTGGAGTCCTGGATAAAATACAGGTCATGCACCTTTAACATCACAATGTCAGTCTGTCTGTGCTGTCATTTAAGAACGCATTTCTGACGCCAACCTGAACTCTCTTATACTATAAAAACTGACTTGTGTCAGTTAAACTGCATTTAATGTGTTACCTTCTAACCTTCTACCTTTTTAGAGCTTGACATAAAAATGCCCATGAAATTATGAAGTTTAATTAATTTACTCTTTAGAATTCACACTTTTATAATGAGGCTTCATCATATGTCTAGGATTTTCGAGACAAAAACAACAACAGAAAAGCAGTTTGACGGGGTGAATTAAAATAAATATCTTGATTTTTAGTTGTTTTAGTTTATTTTAATGATTTAAAATGAGACAAAACCAGCATTGTACGCCATCCTGATTAATATGGTATGGGAAATGTTGTTGTGTTTGCTCACAAAACTGATAAATTAGCATTTTTCACAAATATTTCACATTCCCCCGAAAAATTTAGATTTGCTCGCAAATTGCATTCCAGAGAAATTTGCATTTGCTCACAAAAACGTTTGGTTTCCCTGTGAAATTTACTCTATTTGCACATGTTTTGCTTTTCCAGAGAAATTTGCATTCGCTCGCAAATATTTTGTGTTCCCCGGGGGAATCTGTATTATTTGCTCGCCAAAATTGTGCATTCTCTGAGAAATTTGTATTGGTTTGTTTCAGGGTTTTTTGTGACAGAACACGACATTTCTCAGGGAAATGCAAAAGATTTGCAACTGATCCCATTAGTGATCCCTATCAAGCCTTCTAAATCCATATGATCAAAATAGCATGTTTGGGGTTGAATTAAACGGTGTAAGTGGGAGCCCCAGCATCATGAGTGGAAACTCACTAGAGAACTGGCAGTCAGTTGATTAGCTGGGTCTGACAAATACAGCTCCACGTGATCTCACTTCAGTATGTTGTGTTCTCAGGTGACAGAGGAGACGGCGCAGGTGGCTCAAACGCTGGGCTACAGCGTAACTCTGAGAGGAGTGATCCACGTGAAGGGCAAAGGACAGCTGAGCACGTACTTCATCAACACCGAGCATCCAGTGCAGTGACCACAGAACGCTTTTAACACCCATCTGACACAGACTGAGACTGTGATGAGTGTTTCACTAAGGTCCTCTGCGGACACTCACCAAACATCCTCTGTCTGCTACGGATGCCACAAAAGAACTGAACTAGTTAGCACTTAGATTTAACCAATTCTAGTACTTTTTAAAAATGATTTCTTCAAGAAGTTTCTTCTTTGTGAAGTTAATCTGTTGTTTTAAACAATGCAAAGTTGCCAACTTTTCTAAATTTCCAAAGTCCCTCGTGACTGTAGTTTTATATTGAATTTCTAGTATTTTCCTTACCTTGTGCACTTATTTATTAATGGCTGTTAATATTTATTTAATGTTTTGTATGTTTAATGTGAAAAGTAAGAGTGTATAATATCATGTCTAAAATGTATAATGTTTCATAAAAAAGTTGTTTGTTGTGTTTAATATTTAACCATTTTGTGACTAATAAAATGGATAGCTAACAAGAAAATTAAAAAGTAGACTCTTAAAAAAAAATTTCACCTAAAAAGATGTGGTGATGGAGAAAATATGATAAATTAAAATTATACTTAATTATGACCTAAATCGTTTATTTTTTTAAATATTCAAACATTCCCCTGAGAAACATTGGCGACTGAAATATTTCTACTACTAGCGATAACATTGTTCTGCTCCTACCAATATCTTAGTTTGTGACGATGAGTTCAACGCGTTCTAGGGAGCCTCTTGTGTTGGCGGACGGCGCTTCAGCGGTGGTCGTTGCTGTGTCGAGTGGGTTGCGCACTTCAGGCTGCACTACCCCTGTTGTGCTGCAAGCGGCCGTTTCCCCTGTGCGTCTCAGCACCTAAAAGAGCATTTCCCTGAAAGAGCTTATTTCTCTAAAAGAGCTTACACGGGTGCGTCTTTGTAAAGACGACGGATTGTCTTTTTAAAGATGCAGTTTCACCCGTGCATTTCTGGATGCGGTCGTTACCTGGCGCCGGGTGATGGTCACGATCGCTGCCTCACGTGTCTGGGCATTAAGCACGCTGAGGTGGCGTTTGCAGATGAGTCATGTTCCCATTGCAGGAAGATGACCATCTCGGAGCTGCGGGCCAGGCTCCGTTTCCTCCAGGGGGTCAGATCTCCGTTGCCTCTGCCGCAATCTAGTTATCGTCCTGGCGGCAGCCAGGCGGGGGCTACTTCGAGCAGTAGCACGGGCGGTCTGAGGGTTACAGTGGTGGCAAACCCCTCAGGGAACCAACCCTCGGGGGACCATCGCTCCTCTAACGCTTTGCAAGTTGAGCTGCCAATGGAACGCGCTGGGCCCTCTTCAAAGAGCGTACCAGCAGTATCCTTCGGTGCTCCTCCCGACGACTGGATGTCGATCACTGCATCAGAGGGAGAGCTCTCTGGAGAGGAAGATTCAGCTGTGCTGCCGCCCTCCGAGATGGTAGCAACACCTGAATCAGATCCAGAGATGTCGGCTATGCATTCCCGGGCCACCGAGAGGGTAGGGCTCGAGTGGAAACCTCCACCGCGTCCCGAGCCCTCAAGGTTGGATGATTGGTTTCTCGGGGTGGCTCGCGCTGGTTCTCAGCGCCCCGCCCCAGTGCCTTTCTTCCCGGAGGTGCATGAGGAGCTCACCAGGTCATGGACGGCACCTTTTACTGCCAGAAACCGACCTGCTGGTTCCTCCTCCCTCACCACCCTCGACGGGGGTGCAGCTAAGGGGTATAAGGCGATCCCCCCCTGGTGGAGGGGTTTGTAGCGATGCAGTTGTGTCCTAAGACTGCGTGCAGCTGCTGCCTCCACCTGTCTGCCGTCCGCAGCGCCCCAGCCTGCTCGTCACCGAGGGTGCGTCCGCCCCTGCTCCCGCGTCGCATCCGCATCCGCCTCGAACAAGCGGCGCCATTGAGCTGGGTGTAAGCAGGCAGTCCCACTCGTCCAGGCCCCCGTAAATCCTGGCAGAACCTGAGCGGAAGAGCAAGAGGCCCCGGGACGGGCGACCTAGAGAAAGAGCTGCTCTTTGGGGGATGGTGCATGCACCTCTCCCTCCCCCGGAGGAGGGCCGGGTGGAGAATCTGATTTTCTCTGTCTCTGGATCCAAGAGGACCACGGAGAGTTGCGGACGGACCAACACTGGACCGCACTCATCCTCCTCTTTCGCCAGCAGGCAGCAGCTGGCGGTTCGAGAGCATCATCAGAATCAGAATCAGAATGAGCTTTAATGCCAAGTATGTTTTCACATACGAGGAATTTGTTTTCATGACAGAAGCTTCCGCAGTGCAACAGAATGACAGTGACAGACCAAAAAACACAGATAATAAAAGAAGGATAAAAAATAGAACAAGTAAATAAGGAATAACAATATATAAATTGACAATTGTATGTGCAGGTATATTACAATAGACAGTTTTGTATGTACAGGTATATTATGTGCAAATTTGAGGTGTAGACTAAGTATGTGTGTTAGATAAATAAGTGTATGAGTGTATAAATAGTGTTGTGTGTTCCACAGTTATTGTCAAGTTTTCATCAGATGGATTGCCTGAGGGAAGAAACTGTTCCTGTGTCTGGCCGTTCTGGTGCTCAGAGCTCTGTAGCGTCGACCAGATGGCAACAGTTCAAAGAGGGAGTGTGCTGGATGTGAGGGGTCCAGAGTGATTTTGCTAGCCCTTTTGAACTCTCTGGATGAGTACTGTTCTTGAAGAGAAGGGAGGGTTGTACCAATGATTCGCTCAGCAGT